TGCTGAGACACATTTCTCCAAATCTGATGAAGAAACAAACTCATCTACATCTTAGATGACCTGAGGTGAGAAAATTTTAAGATGATTTTTATTCTTGGGTGAACTATTCCTATAAAAGAGAAGAAAAAAACAAGGAATGCGAGCAATATCTAGAGACGAGATGATCACAGAGACTTGATGGTGTAAACTACTACCCAGAATACCTTGCCATTTTACACCACTTACCACTAAAAATGCTGTACTATGTGTGTGTTTGCTTGTTTTTTGATGTGTGCATATGTGTTTGTTTGTATTCAGGCTCTCAGTACAGAGAGATTGTGTGTGTGAATCGACACACAGACCAGGAAGTCCATGAGAGGAGGTGTGACTCCGCAACCAAACCTGCTCCGGAGGAGGAACCGTGTAACGTTCATCCCTGTCCACCATTGTGAGTAACTCTGTATGTGCATAAACGGCTCTTTTTTTTAATTCTCGAAATTAATCATTTTATTCAGCATGGATGCAATAATTTGATAAAAAGGGACAGTAAAGAAGCAGCACAAATGTTTTCAACATTGATAATAATCATAAATGTTTCTTGAACAGCAAATCAGAATATTAGAATGATTTCTGAAGATCATGTGACACTGAAGACTGGAGTAATGATGCTGAAAATACAGCTGCGCATCACAGCAATAAAATACATTATACTATATATTCACATTATAAACAGCTAATTTAAATTGTAATAATATTTCACATTTTTACTGTTCTTACTGTATTTTTTAATCAAATAAATGCAGCTTTGGTGAGCAGAAAAGTCTTCTTTCAAAAACCAAACGTTTGAATGGTTGTATGTACTGTATATATATATCGCGATTAATCATTTGACAGCACTAATGTATGTTTATGTATTTATTACCATCTATTACAAAAATATTTCAGGTTAAATACAATGTAAGCTCTGTTGACAGCATGTGTGGCATATACCATTCCATTAAACACTGTTCACATCAAACAAAAAGAAGTTCATCCACCTAGAAAAGTACTAACTCTAAAGACAAAATAGGAAACAATTTATTTGAATCATGCCTGTAAGGGCTCTTAAAATCATGCTCAGGTTTCTGCTGTTCCACATCTTGCACCACAGACTTTCTGTATGAATATACTGTATTAGGGTTGCTGTATAGTGTGTATCTCTGTGTGTGTGTGTGTGTGTGTGTGTGTGTAGCTGGGATATGGGCGTGTGGTCCGAGTGCAGTGTTTCCTGTGGCTGGGGTGTGCAGCAGCGTCACATACAGTGCAGGCAGAGTTTTGGGAATCGCTCAACCATGGTTCACCCTCAGCGCTGCGCCAGTCTCACCCGCCCCAACGCCACGCAGCCCTGCCACCCACGCGTCTGCTCGCACTGGGAGATCAGCACCAACTGGAGTGCGGTAAGACTACAGGATGACTACAGGTTATTTATTTAGTGTTACTTAGTATATTTAGTACATATTATATTTAATAAATTATGTTTTTAATATTTGAGCAGCAGCTGTGGGGTTTTTTGTTAGACAGTTTGCATTGTGAAACCCTCTTATAAAAGTTGCATTAAACTCCTTTCCCTTGTGCATTAATTTAAAAGTTACACAGAGGTCATTAGAGAAAAAAAATTAACTGTGATTTTTTTAAATTATTTTTTCACTTTCACTGACAGATTTTTTTTTTAACCAACATCAGTCCTGGGGTGCGTTTCCCAAAAGCAACTATGGTTGCAAGTTCCATCATTACCAGTTGAGTTCAATGGAATTAACGACCATAGTTAACGATGCTTTTGGGAAATGCAGATTTTAACCCTTTAAATGCTGGTTTGTTTACATACTAACACTGTTGTTGTTTTTTTATGGAAAAAAAATATTTTCCATATACAAAACGCTACGCAGTTTTTTTATTACTGCAGTCCTGGGTAAGTCGGTGATTGGAAACAGCATTAATTGTGATGTATGTATTATTTTTTGTGCAGTGTCAGAAAAAAAAGAATGAATAAAAAAACATTAACACACACACACACACACCCATTTCTCAGTACACATACAAATCATACTCTGATATTCATTCATTAATTTTCATTCAGTAAACATTTTCAAGTCTTGCCAACAGAACGAAAAGCCTATTAGCAAAGAATGCCAGATTTTATGCTTAAATGGCAGTATGGTTTAATATTGCAGTTTTAATGGTTTTGAATGATGACATTTTTGATCTTGAGTGTAAAATAGATTTATGAAGAGAATTTAATATTCCAATGAAAATACACTTTTTGTTTATTAATTTGGTTGGTTGTTTTTTGCTAAATTTATGCTTTTTGCCTTAACACAGCCAAAAATATATATTAAAAAAATGAAAAAATGTCCCTAAGGATACATAAGGCTTAAGGCTCCAGTGCAGCTGTACACTGTTTTGGTGCTTGCACTGTTCTTTGTCCCGCCACAAGCATTGCATTTTTAAGATTAAAAATAGTCCAACTTTTAAAAATGAGTCTTGTGAATTGAGACCCCAGTATTGTTCCATATTGCTTTCTGTGTAGCTGTTTTTTGTGTTAATGCCTCTTATGAAACGTGTTTGATCTGGGTCAGATGAATCCAAAATCAGGACTTCCTTAAGACTGATTAGTTAGTTGGCTAGTTGATAAGGCAACCTACTGACTAGCTGATTTAGAAAATGCGGTTTTGCTCTAGTCTGTAAGTGTGTGTGTGTGTGTTTGTGTGTGTGTGGAGACCTCTGCATTGTTTCATACTGTTTTTAAATGCAAAATGTTTTCTTGTGTTAATTCCTCCTATGAAACATGTTTTGATATGGGTCAGATGAATCCAGAATAGTTAATCTAGGCTAGTTGTTCAGGCAACCCACTGACTAGCCGACTTCGAAAATATGTAGTTTTGTTCTAGTCTGTAAGTGTGTGCAAGTCTGGTCACATAGACGTGTTTGAGCTGTCTGTGTGTGTGTGTAAATGTGTCTGTTTCCCACATTGCTCAGTGGATTGTGGAGTGGGAAAGAGAACCCGGAGCATACGCTGTGTCAGTGACCATGGCAACACTGTGAATGAGAGAGAGTGCAGTGACAGGCTCCACCCACAGCGCACAGAGGACTGTCACATGGGTCCTTGTGTCACTAACTGGTACTTCACGGACTGGACAAACACTGTGAGTAGTGACCAGCCAGATTCGTGCTTGCACTTGGTTTGCCAAAAGGTGATTTGATGAAACGATATATTTATGTAGTGATGTGGATGATTGTTTCTCTGTCAGTGCTCTGCGACGTGCGGGCCGGGCGTCCAGCGGAGAGAGGTGGTGTGTTTGACCGGCGGAGGCAGGAGAGAAGGAGACGGAGGAGTGGAGTGTGGGGGGGAGAAACCGGCTGATATGAAGGCCTGTAACGGGGGACCTTGTACACCCACCCACCTCTGGTACACCGGACCCTGGGCACAGGTGAGGGCCGTCTGCCTACAGCAAATATCAATGAATTATAGTCCAGTGTTAAGGTCTGTGTTAGAATACAATAGAAGAACAAGTCAAATAATTAAATGGAATAGAATAGAATAGAATATTGTCAAAACATAAAATTAAATAGAACAAAAAATATAATCGACCAATGAAGAATAGAATGCAAATTAATAGAATAGTTTAACATTGCACAGAATAAAGATGAATAGAATAGAACAAAATTAAATGTAATACAATTAAGAACAGAATAGCTGTGTAGAGTAGAACAAATCAAATAGAATGGTTATTTTTTAGTTAATTTTTTATAGAATAATGTAGAACAGAATAACATCAAAGGAAACCTAATAAATTTAAATAGAACAAAATAAAATATAATAGAAAATGCTGAATGGAATAACATTGAATAGAATGGAATAATATTGCATAGAGTACAGGTACATACAATGGAACTAATTTAAATGTAGAATAATTCAACATAGTTCAATAAAGTTAAAATAATTCAATCAGAACATTCTAAAAATAGAACAGAATAGTGAATAATATAACAACATCAATTAAAATCTAATGAAACTGACTAAAATTAAATAGAACAAAATTAAATGCAAGAATTGAACCATGCAGAATATAATATAGTTTAATAGAACAGAATGAAGTTAGAATAAAGAAGAATAGAGTAGAATAAAGATTAATAGAATGGTGTAGAATAGTCAATTAGAATAAAGTTTAAGTAATTACATTAGAACATTCAACAACAGAGTAGAATAGTGTAGAATAGAATATAATCAGAGAAAAATCTAATGAAATGGAATTATATGAAATAAAACAAATGAAATGCAATAGAAAAAAGGAAAGGAAATGAAGCTGCACAGAATAGAATAGAATAGAAGTTGAATGTAGAACAGTGTCAAATTAAACAAAAGAATAATGCAGGGAAGAACAATATAATTCGTACAAAGTTTATTGAATTATAAAGAATAATTAACTTAGAACATTCTGAAAACAGAATGCAACAATGTAAAATAGAATTGAATAACATTGAAAAAAACAGAGTAAAGTTGCATAAAATAAAGACTAGAATAGACTAGAATAGAATGGAATAGACTAGGCGAGTAAACTGTCACGAGTGTGTGTTGGCACTGGTCACTCTTGCCAAATTTAGGTGGCAATGAAGCGCTTCTGAAGTGGCATTTATGCGCCGTTACTCTGAATTTTAAGCAGGCACAGAGCAGCCTTACCTCAGCCTTACACCTTCTGTCTCTGGACTCTCTCTGTTGAACAGTGTAACGCAGCGTGTGGAAACGGCACCCAGCGCAGGGACATCATCTGCGTGAGGAAGACAGGAAGTGACTTCACCGTGAGCGCCGCCAGTGAGTGCTCACACCTGGAGAAACCGTCTCCAGTGCAGCCGTGTGAACTGCAGCCCTGCAAACCGCAGTGGTTCACCACCGAGTGGAGCACGGTGAGGACGACTTCATCTGTCCTGCGGGATCTTCCCTTCCTCTGCTGTCACTGACTTCCCCTCTGTGTCTGTCCAGTGCTCTCGGTCCTGCGGTGAAGGGGTGCAGACGCGGGAGGTGTGGTGTCTCACTGCAGACAAACAGCACAACACAGCCTGCGATCTGGACTCCAAACCTGCCCACGAGCGCTCCTGCAACACCATACCCTGCAGTCCCTTCGAAGGTGTGTGTGAGAGTGTTTTTGCATTCTGTATGATGATTCAGATTATAATCTCTCTCTCTCTTCCCATCTCTCTCGTTGTAGATGAGAACTGTAAGGACAGACGGCATAACTGCATAATGGTGGTCCAGGCTCGACTCTGCGTCTACTCCTACTATAAGACCGCCTGCTGTGCGTCCTGCACCCAGAGTGCTCAGCGGGCCAAAAGACATTAACCCTGCACGAGCCACAGAGAAGTCAGGTTCAGAGATTCACCACCAGAGCCCAAACTCAGCCAATCATAGTTCTATCAGAGGAAACAGCCAATCAGAGGCCATTCAGGTTCAAAAGGAATTTCAGGAGAAAATTCCAACTTGAACTGAGCTGAGATCAGGATCCCTTTAAAGAAAGTTTTAAAATGTTACCGCATATGGGCTCATAGGCTCAAATGATTGACAGTAGCTCTTTCCCCATTGATGACGAGTGTTCAGTACACTATACTGTCAAATACTCAACCATTCCTTAAATCATCTTTAAACAAATGCACTGAAGTTACAGGTCCACATTCTGGACACGTATATGAAGATATTGCTAAGTGGGAACAATTCTAGAAGTTGCCTTTGTGCTTTTGTCACACATGAAGTGTTTCATAACGGTTTACTTTAATTGCAAGTAAGTGGATACAGAATCTGGTATTTGAACTAATATTCTGCCTCATTTATTCAGTTTATTTGTGCGACCGAAGTATGATAAAACACGCAGATAAAGCATCAGTTACACACCTAATGTGCGTCCTTCACTCCTAAGTATGTTGCATTAGCACTAAAAACTTACTGTTTTTGTTAGTAAGTAAAAAAGCGAAAGATTCTCCAATTAAAATTACATACTTATTGCATAAAACTTGTGAGCAGCGATACATTTTTACTTAAACATTGATTCTCCGCTCAAAAACAGTGCCTTTGACCTTGTCTCAGTCCTCTAAATGGTCCTTAAGATATCAGTACTTCAGCAAGGACATAAATATTCCAGCATAAGTGCTCTTGACTGTCTAAATATAGCACACTTAGTGCTGACAGTCAGTCCTACAGATCATATATGAGTGCAGTGTGAACAGAAATCTGGAAATCTATGAATCTAGTTCATCATTAAGCTATAAAGAGAAGATGAGCATCATGATCAGCTCTTTTTATTTGATTCAGTCTATATTTCTTTAGGTCGGTTTTGTCTGAATGTACATCAGTCCTTTTAGTGTTTCATGTTTTTGTCATTTTTTGTGTGACATGTTTTTTTTTGGGGGGGTGCGGGGTGCTTTATTGTTATTTCTGGCTGTTTTTAATGGTTCCCACATTGTAAATTAAAGCAATAGTTCACCCAAAAATGAAAATGTGCTCACCCTCAGGTCATCCAAGATTAGGATGAGTTTGTTTCTTCATCAGATTTGTAGAAATGCAGCATTGCATCAGTGTCTCAGCAATGGATCCTCTGCAGTGAATGGGTGCCGTCAGAATGAGAGTCCAAACAGCTGATAAAAACATCACAATAATCCACAAGTAATCCACAGCACTCCAGTCCATCAGTTAGCATATTGTCCATTATTTCAGATGTTTTAAGTTTTAAGCATATTTCTCTCCTGGTTCAGATGAGATGGACTTTTTCACTAGAGGAAGCATTATTATGGATTATGCACTTGTATTTTAGCCGGAAGCAATGGTTCGAAGTTAAAATGTCATTATTCACAAGACGTTAACTGATGGACTGGAGTGGTGTGGATTACTTGTGATGTTTTTATCAGCTGTTTGGACTCTCATTCTGACGGCACCCATTCACTGCAGAGCATCCATTGCTAAACAAGTGATGTACTACTAAATTTCTCCAAATCTGTTCCCATGGACAAAAAAGCTCATCTACATGGATGGTCTATCTTGGATGGCCTGAGGGTGAAGACATTTTTAGATCATTTTCATTTTTTTTGTGAACTATTTCTTTAAAATATGGCCATTACAGAATCACAGCCACAATAGCATTAACGGTTTTAAGACAATATTGTAAACCACAGAGCAGTTTTGTTGTGCATTTCGTATTGTGTAATATAAGGCCTAAAGGGTTGCTGTGGATATATGCACAGGCAGAATGCATTTAGGGCAGCATTATTTGTGTGGTTTATTCATTGCATTCGTATTAAATATGCAAACAGTATAGTGATTTCAGCCAAAGTCAGGTACAATGCAAGACCATTGCCCTGGATCAAACTGAGGTTAAAATACTCCCTAGTGTTAGAACATGTGAGCTTTCTGTTACTCGTCCATAGCTATAACCACTTGGCGATCACAATCTCTTATGCAATGAGCAGTATGTCAATGAGCAATTGAATATATAAATGAGTAATAACAGAGATGGGGTGGATTTTTGTTACAGTAACTTGACTCCAAATTACATTTTAGTATATAAATACAATCAGTTTTGTGTGTGTGTGTGTGTGTGTGTGTGTGTGTGTGTGTGTGTGTGTTTATTCCTAGAGACACACAAACA